AAGCAGGTTATTCCCAATTACTATCTTACAAGCTTGCCTTAAAGATACCTTTTTCAAGGGACTCCGCATACTAACCTTGAGAAGCAGCTGCCTCGAGGAGCAGATTAGGCCAAATAATTGAAAGCGAACAAATGAAAACTAAAAACATGGCTTGTAAGTCCACAAGGGCACAAAAGTATTGAATTAATGAAAAACCAACTGTTATTGGAACTAAGATAAAGCTCTTGCGTGCCGATTTCAACTGACCAATCAGATAGCTTTCAGGACGGCAGCTGCTGCGCACATTTCTTCTGTATATATCATAAGTTGATATGTTACGTGAGGTCTATTAAACTCTAATGATTGTTGTTTCCACTTTAATTACTGTTGAAGTAAACCTTCGATAACGTTATTAACCCGGTAAACAACTAGGATCATCCGCAAAATCCTACACAAGGTTTTGTTCTTACTTGGTCTTCAAATCATTGGTTGATGCCAATCACTTTTCCTCGCGCGCGAGTACTTTTTCCATCGTTGCCTTGGGTTTTTATTTGCTCCTTTCCATATTTGATCGAATAATTTTTTAAATACATAGTACCATAGCTACCAGAAACATAAGCTTCTGCTAAACAATTAGATTACGAGACCGAGACTTCTATCGAGCATAACAACTGGTAAGGGAGAGGCCCAAATGAGGTATCACATGTAATAACGATAATAATGATAATAATAAAAACAATAATAATAATAATTATTAAAATAGTAGTAATAATAAAAATAATAATAATGATAATGGTTTACTCAATGGAGCCCACGATATGGCTCTTCACCTATCAAAGCTATCTAGACTCTTACAGTTACGTGAAATAAAATGAATTGAAACTGGTAGCAATTGCAAAACGAAATTAAATAAATGAAAATAGGGTGTCCATAACGCGTCAAAACGCCTTTAAAAATATTAGTAAATAATAATCTAATATAATTGTAAAGTAAATTCGGCGTCTTACCTAGATAGCGTGAAGCGTAGCCAATCATATTGCAACAATTATACTTGAGCGCTACTAGATTTATGCTAAATTCACATATACCTTGGTAAACACTGAGCGCCTAAATTTTCACCCTCTTTTAAGTTATAAAATCTTCCATATCGAATCAGAGGCATCCCATTCGTAGAATTTGAGAAATGAACCGTTGATTTCAAACAAAGTTTGAAAGAAGAGTATCTCGACGGTTAAAGCCTGAGAAAATGCTCTTAAATTAAGCGGAAAAAAGGTAAAACAATGAAATGGAGGTAAGAAGTTTTTGACTTGAACTACCGTGTAATTTTCATCACTGCTGGCTTTATTAAAACCCAAAAGTAATGCTCACAGTTGAAGGTCTATCGATCTAATTGATGGAAAGTGAAACATGAATTATTGATTGACTTCAAACTGCAGCTAAAATGAATCATCGATTGAATAAAATAGCATTTTTTTACGCAGTTAATTTTTTAAATTCGTTAACCTATGTGTTGCGTCGGGGGTCATTTGAAAAATATAGCGGATCGTCAATTATAACCAGGTTAATTAAAAGTATATGAAGTGCAGCGGCAAATTTTGCCGAAGCACTGACGTTTTCACTAACCTTCTGCCTTGAGGATCAGTTCAGACCAGATAATAAAAACAGAACAAAAAAGAGAAACATTCACAGCGCTGGCCCGTGAATCGACCATCGAGGTTTTTTAGTCGAAAGTATTTGAAACCGCCGTTTCTCCCTCAAAACAAACTGACTCTGTTGTCGTTAAAACATCTCCTTAATCTCACTGATTTTTATTGACTGTCCAATCCAGGTAGATTATTCTACGGCAGGTGCTAACTTCGTTTTCATATATGCCAGCTCTCTCGGATTATCCGGGATTCTCCCGGATACAGAGGCAATCTCCCACTCTCCTGTACGGGTGACCAAAATCCCGGCTAAGAAGAAGTTTGGATCAGTTGCCCAGAAAAAAACTAAGATTTAAGTTCCACATGTTCCAAAATTCCAAAATCATCTGGCTTCTTATGCTTGTATTACGGTTTCTGGCTTCATTTTCTTG